GTCAGGATTTCTCGTTTCTAAAGCTATTCTAGATGTTGAGTAGACCGCCTTCGAATATCCACCATCAGGACTCATGGCTATTGACTTATTAGGTTGTCTCAAAAGTTCGTGCGTACTTTTTGAAATTCGCGCCAAAATTTTCTTTATTGATTGAGCAAGCTGGTAACGAGGGCAATGTAGAGCACATTGTATAAGGTAACCCATATCCTAATCTGGCTTGCACCAGTTGCGGTTTTCTTGCAAAAAATGGCAGATGAAAAACTTCACCTCCGCCACGCTTTGCTGTATGAGTTCCAATTGGGCCACAACGCAGCCGAAGCCACTCGCAACGTCTGTTCTGCGTTGGGTGCTGATGTCATCTCCCATCGCACGGTGGTGAAATGGTTCGATCGGTTTCGCTCAGGGGACTACGACTTGGAAGACAAACCTCGTTCAGGGAGGTCATCTGCCTTGGATTTGGACCGGTTACGCTCCTTGATTGAGGCCAATCCCTACGAAACCACTCGCTCTCTAGCAGTCACACTCGGCTGCTCCAAAGAATTCAGTGAATCGGGGTATTCGCTCCCTCGGAAAAGTCTTGAAGTTCGGCAAATGGATTCCACACGACTTGACCGATGCACAGAAGAGAACGCGCGTGGAGTACTGTCTACAACTTCTCTCCCGCTCCCGCCGAACGGACTGGTTGGACAACGTTGTCACCGGGGATGAGAAGTGGTGCCTTTATGTGAACCACACGCGGAGACGCCAATGGCTGGATCCATCCCAGAGAGCTGAACTAGTCGTGCGACCAGATCATTCCAGCAAGAAGGTAATGCTCTGCGTCTGGTGGGGCGTTCGCGGAGTGTACCATTGGGAGCTTCTCCCTCCCAATGCCACGGTTACAAGCGAGGTCTACTGTAATCAGCTACAAACTTTGGCGGGAAAGCTCCAACTAGTTTCTCCGGAACTCGGCCAAGTATACTTGCTCCACGACAACGCAAGGCCACACGTTTCGTCGATGACACAGCTCCAGATCCTGAACCTCGGCTGGGAAATACCTACCCCACCCACCGTACAGCCCCGATCTAGCCCCATCCGATTACCACCTATTCTTGTCTCTAAGTAGCCATCTTGCAGGCAAGAAATACGATTCACAGGAGGACCTCAAAAATGACCTCACCACTTTTCAGTTCGAAACCGCAAGACTTCTGGAAGCGAGGCATCCATTCTTTGCCTAGCCGTTGGCGACAAGTTGTTGATAATAATGGTGAATATATTGTTAATTGATATTGCTTGCTTTTGAAATAAAGTTAAATAAAAAAAATGTTCGAAATACGCACGTACTTTGGAGACAACCTAATACAAAAGTGTGGAAAAGTCTAGGGCACTCTTCCAATGTTGTGGCAGAATGCACAGACCCTTAGATATGGCGCTTCGCATGATTCAGCAGTAATTCGATAGAACCACACCCCTGGACCATCAGGGGCCGAAAAGTGTGATTCCAAGAGAAAGAAGGGAAATTCATCCTCGAAGGTTGCTCTCCCCAAATCTCTCGAGGAAGGACCGCATCCACCAGTTCCCAGAGATTTCTCCCCGATTGGCATTCAGTCGGAGATATTTCCCTATGGTCGACATGCCTTACCGCCCCAGGCTACTTTACAGGTTAGGCTGGTGTCAGAGTTCGCGATACATCGCACGCTTCGAGTGAATCGCAAAAATCACAAGTGCTCATTTGAACATTTGAAACACTGAATATGAAACAAGTAGAATCATGAACAGTCGTCATTCAGCCATCACCATCAAGCAGAAATGGCGGCAGGATTCTAGAGCACCTCACAGTATTCATCGGGAAACTTACGATATCTGTGATACATTGCGCGACAAATCGCGGACTTTGGAACCAGCCTTACATTTTTCTCCGCAGTTGTAGCCAAATGTCAAGTAATCGCAACACCATCGTTAGAGCGGAGAACTACTTATGTGGAAGAAACAGTCTTCGTGCAAGCTACAATATTGACAACATTTTGCCACGAAAACAATGAGAACAAATCACAAAATCGGCGCAATTTTGATGAGATAGGAGCAAAAATTTCACATCATCTGGTAACTAACTTACTAAACTAACTTTCTTAACTAACTAACTCTGCAAAAGTGCTACTAGTAGACACAACAAACATATATCGCTAACCTTCATTTGAAAAACGAATGCCTGTTCAAGTTTTCGCTGCCAATGCGGGAAGATCGACATCTTTGCCCATTAGAGACTGGCGGATCTTGAAATAGTTGGAACATATCATTAGAGACTGGCGGATCTTGAAATAGTTGGAACATATAAGCAATATCGGATTCGTTTTGGGAAGTACCTCATGGAGAACGATTTTTATTTCTTCCGATATGTACAGTACTCGCCGTTTGAAATCGAAAATTCACGCGAATAACGCGAATCCTCGTTAATTTCGTGAATTCGTTATAACTCGGTTCAAAATTGAGCTTTCGAGAATCCGAAGATATCTTTGAATTCAGCTCGTCGGACACTATAAGAATTGCTTTGATACTTTGGAAAAGCTCCATATAGGATTGCGCCATGCACTCGATTTTCATCTCAAAAAGTAGTTGCTCGCATGTGATGTGTATATAATCCCGCTTATGCGGGCTGACCGCTACACACAGAGAAGGGCCTCAAAACTTACCCCAGAATGCGCCACGTACTCAATCTCATCCACTACATTGTGAGATTAGATGAATGTTATTTTCCGAATTCTTAGATCTTCATTTCGTTTTTAAGCGCTTACTGGCTTTACGTGTTCCCTCTGCTCTCAATATCCCATCCTCTGTATATCAAGTGGAATCTTTGAACAGTTCTCAGCAGGCATAGTGGGCCTATTATGTGACATTTTCCATTTTCAGAGGAGATGTTTTGCAGAAAGCTGTGAAGATAGCGAACAATTTCCTTCACTGTCGTAGACTACGGTCACTTGTCTGTAAGGATTATATGGAAACCTTGGTCGCAGGTGAGCGTTTCTTCCGTGGTGTGACCCCAAACATCACCCCTTGTCATGCCTTTGCCCCCTATTACGTGACAAGTCCCATTTTTAGAGGAATGTTTTGTAGAAAGCTGTAAAGGAAGCGAAGAATTTCCTTCACTGTCGTAGACTATGGTCACTTGTCTGTAGGAATTATGTGGAAAACTCGGTCGCAAGTGAGCGTTCCTTCCGTGGTGTGGCCCCAAACATGCCTCCTCGTCATGCCCTTGTGGAAAGTTCAGATTTTTTGCATTTCCAGATGAACTCGCAGACCTGAAATGTGCCCCGTTAGCTTCCCCGTGAAAAATGCTATCGAATGATATGCATTACTTCCCCAGTTGAAACTTTGGTTTTTCACCGTTTTCAGCCTTCCCCTATTGCCGGATTGGGCACCCCACGATTACTGCCCCAAAATCTCAAAGTTTCATTTTTCGTCGAAACTTTGTCTATTGGGGTAATTCGATGCCCTGATTACGAATATGACATTCATTTTTGATGCTGCATTTGGCGCCATTTGGCGCCACGGCTGTTTTCACCAAATCTGCTGAAACTTCGTCATTTGGGGTTATTTGGGGTCCTGATTACGAAAACGACACCCGTTTTTAGCGCTGGGCGCCATTTGGCGCCACAGCTGTTTTCACCAAATCTGCTGAAACTTCGTCATTTGGGGTTATTTGGGGTCCTGATTACGAAAACGACACCCGTTTTTAGCGCTGGGCGCCATTTGGCGCCGTTTGGCGCCAATTTGGCGCCATGGTTGTTTTCACCAAATCTGTTGAAACTTCGTCATTTGGGGTTATTTGGGGTCCTGATTACGAA